TTTACTAGAACATTCATGCTGACGCTGTTTCCTAGCTTAGCACCTTTTCACCGGAATCGAAGAAGACTACCTCAGAAACTGCGTCAACATGAATGTTCCAGTAAAACCAATCGACAACTGGTCAAGAAGAATCCGCCGTCGTCTTCTGGTGGAATCAACCTGCGAATCTCTTCACCAAACACTTTCACTTGAAATGGAGTTAAGCTCAACAAAACTTAATTTGATATATCCAGATTATAATTTATATCTGATTTAAATGTAACTATCCCGTTACACTCTGAAATTTCCATCATAATCAAACTTTTCCTTGATGCACAAAATTGCCCAAAATATTGCAACCAATGTTATGACAACGGCACGTCAAAGCATACATATATAAGACCCATAGTAACAATGATTAAGACTGTACGACATTTTCTCGTAGACAACAACAATTTTGGAATATTACACTATAATGAGTCTTGTAGTCGGTTTAGGATAACTACTATCAACAATTAAAATGTGGCAAGTTTATTAATTAATTTCAACTTTATAAAGAATACACAATAGATGTTTTAATCTTTTGCTGCAAAATACTATCAATTTGTCATATATGAGGGATATATCTTTGCAAACATGGAGTTTGAGCAAATAATTATATCACTGGTTTCAAAACGTCTTTATTCCGCAGGCTCGTTTCTTGAAGACTAATAGAACTAATGCCTTTATTGGGGCTGCTTTTCCCTCTAAATCCAGAGAAGTGTACTCCTCTTTCTTCATCCTCTTCTGAAAGCATCCAGGGAACAGAATGAGGATTTGTCAGAGGTCGAGGGGAAGATGAATTATCTGCGGGACGAATGGCACTTGGTAGCAACACATCCTCTCGATGTTCACAGCTCTTCTCGACTTCTGGCTTGACAACTCCGTGAACGAGATGCTCGGTTCCAGTTGGGGCTAGAATCATGTCTGCCTGGATGCCTTTTTCACTTGAGAGGCCAGCCAGTGGCAGAGTTTCCGTCGCGATGGTGGTGGAGGCTGTCTTCATTGTGGTCTTTGAGGATCTTGGCAGCACAGTCTCCTCGTCCTCTGTGTTGTCCGGAGGCTTAATCTTTTCAGAAGCAGGTTGTAGTTTGTTGAGTACATGAAAAGGAAAAAGTGCTTAAAGAGCATTGGGCAGGTTTGCATACAAAAAAGCAATCAGGACGCTGATAGCTTCGAAGCAAAAAAGGTAGTAACGATGAAATCGGCAATGAGTCAAGGCAGAAGCACACATTTGCCTAAAAAAATACAAAAGTTCCCACAAAAAGATGTTAATTGGAAGAAACTTACTATTTATCGAAAGCCATATTCATTGTTACTACAACATGGCCTAGAGGGAAATGTTTATGCTTCTTTACTAGCAAATGCATAGTTCGAATCCCTCAGAAAGGATAAATGGTACAATGAAACGAAGGCAATTTTAAAAAGTAACTAAACCTTCTCTGAAATGAGTCACCATCAAAGCAGGTAAAAACCACTCGAAACTGATACAATTCGATAAAAATCAGGCTCCTGATAACTACGAAAAAATTGTTACCGAAGCCAAAAATAACGCGTAAATGGAATAATGTACTTTTTCTGTTCAAAATGTGAACTCCGTGGGTCAGAGCGGAATGGAGAAAGAGAAGTAAGAAAACATGAACAACCGAAACAGTAAGTTATCCATGTCAACTTCTGATCGGACGATTCGGTGTCAAGCTTTGAGAGTCAAGATTGGTGTTTCACTTACGTAATATCCGTGCTCAAGGTTGTTGAGCCGTGGCTACGTATGAGATGTAACAAAACTAAACATTGAATGGGAATAGTGTATGGATAGGTGACTAGATAATCTAAAAATAGGATGTACGCTGTCTAATAGACATTAAACAAATCTATCTTAGTATAATGTTGAATATAATAAATATAGGACCGGAACTGTTGGCCCATAAAATCGTCGCTTTGAGGCATCCTTTTATAAAGAACTAAGTGAGCAAAAACACATTTCAGAGGAAGATTCATATGCAAATATGTCTCTCTAAGTAAAAATGTTAAAAGAAAACAGTTTAGACCAACATATAAAACGGTTTGGAGTTTTAAGGTCTGATAGCTTAGTTACTCACAACATCACTTTTACAGTGATTTAACAAACGAAATTGGATTTGATTTGAAGATTGAGTACATTACGAAATACCTAGCTACTCATTAGATGAACTGACAAGGAACATCGGCAGAACCAAGTCTGGAGTCGCAAAAAGAGCCTCCGAGGTATCCAGGAGAGAGCGATTGTAGTTATGACGACCAAGAAGGTGTAGCCATTTTATGGTGGCAACCCTCGTTTGCTTTAGTGTTGGTTCGATCTGGTTTTCGCGACTTGGTCGGAGCGTCAGGAAGACCATGTGGAAGGAACCTAGTCCCATGTCTTCTGTGAGGGTATGCGTGAGTTCCAGTATTGGAACATCGGCTGGTACATTCCCAAACGTTTCGCCGGCATCGTAGTCAGCATCGTCAGTGAGACGCACCATCGCAGGCACAGACTTACAACTTGTCAAAGTGACATTTGAAGGCATTTCGTTTCAACCACCATTTTCAATTGTACCTTCCTTCTTTCAACCAACCTCATATGGCCCACTTACCGATTCACACAATTCTGTACTCTGCTTTGCTCCAATGTTGCCTAAGATTGCATCGCTACAAGTGGGTTCAATGAAATGTGATCATTTCCACCACCGGTACCAGATGCCGTTTGCAGATCTCCTCATCTTCATTCAGCCCCCCCCCTTTCTCCTATCCCACTCGGCCATTGGTTGCTGCTAAAGCTCAAAATCACTGGCGCAACATTTTTGTTCAAGTATTCTAGATTTCTGTACTAGTGGGCAGTCTGTCTGTGGAGAACTCAAGAAAAGGAGCGAAAAGTATGCGGACATTTGGCACAAGGTTGCTGAACTACATGATGGTGTGTCTGTTGCGAGGAGTGTTGTGGTAATTAGGCGACTAGGTAGGAACAAAGTATGACAACGAATCATAGTTGAAGAAGACAAATACTTTAAGAATATAGAGTCAATTATGGTGAACTGGGCAGTCCTCCGGATGCAGATGAATTCACATATTCTTGCCCTGCAAAAATCCTTCTCACTCACTGGCACTCTAAATGGGATTTTATGAAATGTATAAAGTTATAATTAAAGAGCCACCGATAGTTTTTAGAACATTTTCACTAAACAACTATTAATGCTTCGTTTTCTTATCGATAATTATTCTTCTATGAAAAATGACAAGTGCAAAATGGCTTGCTTGCATTGAAAGTTACATTCGCCTTGTG